GCCCTCTTTGGGTGGAGGTTGGGTAGCCTCATTTGGTGAAAGTAGGCACTCTCCTGTGAGTAGGCACTGTCTGTCCTCAGCCACAGAGTTTATCCCCAGTGCTTCTTGCCACAGAGTCCCAGGCCTGAGATGTTTACTGCCAAGAAGAGGCATCTCCCTTGAGTGGACTGAACTGAACTGCTGCAGAGCCAAGCAGAGACCACCGATAAGGGCGACTTGAGCCTGGGACGAAGCCCCAAGGGTCCTGGGATCGCCTTTCCAGTCCCCTCCATGGTCCTGAATGTGGATGGAATTGGACAGTGGTTCTAATGTTGCCCACCTGGGCCTGGCCCTTTTAGAAACTCATCTATCAGGGGCCTAAAGGGCTTGTAATGTTCCCTTTTTCTAACAACTTAATATTTCCAGCCAAGTCACTTGGGAAGTGCCATTACTTGAGCTGCTAGTCTCTGCTGATTCCCAGAGTCCTTGCCTCTGCTCTTCAGGCCCTCTTGAGCTGTGTTGGCTGCTATCTCGACTCCTTATCCCAGTGATGGTGCTGCGCATCAGCTGAGCCCTCTGGGGAGCGCTCTGCTTCTATTGAGGCTGCTATGTGCTCGTGTACAGTGCTGCCATTATGCTCACAGACTGACAGGGTCATACTTTCATGGGCTCCAGGTGTGATGCAGGCCTGTGTGTCTAGACTAGACTCCTCCAGCTGCATGGCCCTAGCATTGCCATGTGTTTATTTTGAGCCCCCTACCCCACTTGCACACATTTGCTTGATTTCTTGGTTCCCAGACTGTATATCCGATGTTGGGTTCTCTGTTAGTAACACTCTCTTCCTCACCTGCCCAAGCTCTGAACAGGTTGAAGTGGAACAAAGGGGAAGCCTGGGTGGTGAGGATGCTGCTTTGAAGCCAGAGGGGGCTGCCGTTGGGGTGTGCTGGGGCTGGCCTGAGGCTTTGTTCAGTACTGGTGTCCAGGTATGGTCCCCAGAGGTAGGCCGAGCCCCAGCCTGGTCATAGCTGGGCAGGGCCAGCTGTGATCAAGAACATGGGCCTTTTATTCTCCCAATTTTTCTTCAATAGCATGTTTTTTTAGTGTCCCCCCCCCCCCTTTATTTGCCCATATACTACCATGGACAGTAGTGACAGTAGTGTACTGTCCTGGTTGTATAACTCAGGTGTACCCTCATGCATGTCACCTCCCAGGATGACTGTCATTCTGTCATCCTAGATCAAATGGCATGAAAGGCAGGGCAGGGCTTCCTGAGGGTGGTCACAGTCAATGAAGCATTGTTCAAAGGGATGGGATGTCAGCCTTCACAAGTAAAAGGATTGCCCTGGCTTGGGGTTGTGGCCTTGGGCAGCTGTGCTGGATACCAGGACACAGCAAGTTTGGCCATTGGGGTTGACCTGCTTGGAAGGTGGCACGAATGGGTCTGACATGTGCTTCTTCTCCAGCTCCACACAGAATCCTGGGCTTGTATTTCTAAGAACACCTTGATTATATCACCATCAGAGCCCAGATGTAGTTTTGTAGATATGTTTTTGTCTTTTAAGATTATTTTAAACAAACATTTATATTTTCCCTGGCCAATATAGTTTTTCTTGGGGGCTTTACTCTTTGATCTGGACTGGAAAAAAAATGTTACCATTTTAAGACCTCTTGAAACCTGTCTTTGGATTTATTGTCTGTACAAATGGAGATTCAGATAATAGCTCTGTTCCTAAAGGAAGAGAAACAGGAAAAGGAAATAAATTTCTTTCTTTGGAATGATCAACATGGAAGCATATGCTGTTTATCCTGGCAACAGGAATTCAAGGTCGGAAATAATTCTTTTCCTCCTGAGTCTACCATCAGCTTCCCTCAGGAGTGCAGGGGCTGATATTTGCTACTAATTGTAGCCATAATTTTAGCATGCAGTTGAACACATGATTTCCTTCCCAGCTGATGTCTTTTTAGTTCTCTGACATAGATTAAACAAAAGCTCTGTAGTTAACCGCCGTTCTAACCTGATAGGAGGTCACGGAAAGTCACCATTATTTGAGCACATTTGGCTACTTGGTAGGAACTAGATTAAACTTGCCTATAAAAATGGAGAACAGCATGGGTATTTTTTTTTATTTTTTTATCCTCACCCGAGGACATTATTTTATTTTATTTATTTTTTGTTCAGACAGAGCAGGAGGGAGAGAGAGGAAGAGAGAGAGAGAGAAACATCGACGTGAAAGGGACTCATCAAGTGGTTGCCACCCGCACAACCCAACCAGCGCTGGGGACAAACTGCAACTGAGGTACATGCCCTTAGCGGGAACCGAACCCGGGTCTCTCTGGACTGCAGGCCGACGCTCTAACCACTGAGCCAAACCAGCCAGGGCAGCATGGGTATGTTTAATACAGTTTTCAATACTACTGTGTGTGCTCTGAAGAAACCAATAGTTGGTGTGCATTTTCCTGAGGTTCTACATGAGGTTAAGGATCATTTGAAGGAGTGATACCAGCTGGGGAAGAATCAGCGGCGAAAACTGCAGTTGTGGTGGTGATAGAAGAGGATCACAGAAGTCATCTCATGCTGTGGTGGGTCTGGTGTCTGAGGGACCCCAGGACCTGAGAGCAAAGCCACTCCAGGCCTCTGGTTGGCCTGCCCTGGGCTGTATTCGTTCCCTGTTTGTCTCTTCCTTGGGCCCTGCAAGGAGGGTCATTGACATTATAAAGGATGTTTTCTATGAAATAAGGGCTCCCTGCCATGGGGGGTTTGGTAACTACCAGAACAAAGAAACTAAATAGGTTTTTCAAGTGTATTTTGAGACACTGTTACATGCTGCTATACGTCATGATCCTAGAAGGAGGAGTTCAAACAAGCGTGGTTTTCAGAAGTATATGACTGGCATTCTTTATTCAAGGAATACTTGCAGGACAGTTTGGGAAGCGTTGCTCTGGTTGTGTGGAGCCTCTTAGAGAGCATGACTTTTCGTAATAAGGGTGAACACTGATTTTGCACACACCATGTCCTAGCCACTGTCCCACGCACTTCCATGCGTGGTCTCATTTACATTTCCTCTTGTTAGTATCCCTATGATGCAGGTGAGAAATTGAACCATTGGGAGGTTAAGAAATTTGCTCAAGGCCCCAGATTTAGTTAGGGGCTGGGCCTGTTCTGTCTGCCAGCCTGAGTCTTGGTTGCCCTTCCAAGTGTTGGACCCTATGTAGGCTCATCTGAGAAGCCTTTCTGATTCCCTTCTCATCCGCCAAGGTAGGGACTCTGACCCTTCTCTGGTCTCAGGGCCAGAACTTCTCATGGTTTGTGTGTGGTACTTTCTCTTTATCACAATGTGTCCATTTTTTCTTCACACTAGACCCCAGAGTTCATGAGCGTTAGGCTGTCTGTGCCTTTGAGCCAGGTCTTTGGTCTCTAGCACTGTGCCTGGCACAGTTGCTGTGAGTGAAAAGCGGTGAGTGATTCTTAAATGTAGACTTGATCTCATATGCTCTCTTTGCTTCTTAATAGTGGGTGGGAGCAGAAGAGTTCTTGGTGGTTCTCAGTTTCTGAGGACTCATACTAACTTTGCTCTGTAGACCCATCTTTCATAATTTTGGATTAATCAGAGATGGTATGCAAATAACCCTTCCTACTTGTCAAAAACAGTGTGTTCCTTACTGTAAGGATCATCAGCAGTGTTTAGGCCTAGTGCTTAACAGAGGTCCTTGGATGGATGGAGTTGACATTCGGATTTCCCTATGACATCATCTCTCAAAGCATATTCTTCGTTTTTTTTTTTATAAATCTAAGTCAGCCTTTGGGGATTGATCAGATACAATTGAGTGGGTTTGGGTGTTAAAACAGAAAGTTGGGAATAGGACATACAGAGGTACTCCTTTTGTGGAAGCCTGGGGCTAGTTTGACAGTGCATTTCCTGGGAACAGCATCATTCTGCTGCCTCAGTAGGGTGAGGAGGGAATGTGTGCAGAAGAGATGAGTGGCCCTTGGCTCTGGGTAGTCCTGTCCTGTGAGGAGTGAGGTGTGTCCTGTTTTCTGCCCTGAGTTGCCATCTGTAGGTTGACTGGCCTTTTGACCCCATCGTGAGGGAGCAGGACCTTCTTCCTATTTTACACCAAGTGGGCCGGTGGGCCAGTGACAGGGCTATTTATGAGATTATTTTGTGGGAGCCTCCTAAACTTTCTTTTCCTTTAGATTTAAATTATTTAAATATTATGAAAGTGTACTCACTACCCAGTTGGTCACATTTATTTCAGATCTCTTTCAAATCTCACCACCTCCTGCCTTCTCTTCAGTATGAATGTTGTTACTATCCTGTGTTTGCATTTCTTTCCTATCTATGCTTTTTTGATACACACACACATGTGCACGTGTACACACTCACATATATATCCATAAATAATATAACTTATTTTGATGTTTAAAAATATCATATAAATGATAAAATGATGTGTCCTTTTTACAAGTTAGTTTTTAAAGATTGCACTGTGATGTTGATATTTGTCATGTTTATAGATGTGGCAGCCTTACAGTATTCTATTGAGGAATTAAGGTAGTGTATATACATTCATTTCCCCACTGAGGGGATAGTCAGATTGTGCCCACTTTTTCTATTGTAAACACCGCCAGAATGAACCTTTGAATGTTTCCTTTTGTTTAAGAGTTTCTAGAGTAGTCTCACCAAAGTAGAATTCCAAGATTGTAGGGTTTGTTCAACTTGAACTTTACTGGGTACAGCACCAAAATGCCCTCCCAAGTGGTTACACGAATTGACTCTCCTATTTTAGTCATTTTAACCCACATTTCCCCCATCCTTAGTGTTAGCAGGACTTCTCATTCTTGCCAAGTCTGTAGGGTGTGTGGCAGCACCTCTGATGTTCAATTTCATATTTCCCTCACTACTGGTGGGGTGGATCATTCCTGCTCCCCAGGTTTCTGACTACACTGATATAGGTGTGCTTTTTAGATGGGGCAATCTGGTAATCTCCATCTCTTGTAACTGTTTGAATTGTTCTTTCAGATGGTAAGTTTGGTGCCTACATGCAAGTCCACATTCAGAACGATGGGCCTGTGACCATAGAACTGGAATCCCCAGTTCCTGGTGCTGCTACCTCTGATCCAAAGCAGGTAAGTCTGTTGTCAGGGTCTGTTTCCTGGGTTTCAGTCTGTGGTAGACAAAACTCTTCATTGCAGTATTTATTTTAATACATTCCTTCTCATCTATTTATACCTTACCTCCTTAGTGCTGCGGCCGGCAGAGACAACACTTCTGCCTTGCCTCCTGACTTTGGATTCCAGAGAAAATGCCCTTTGCAGAGAGACCAGTTCTTCCTCTGGCCTCCTCTTCTGGTGAGGTGCTTTGCACCCACACGCCACTGGGTGGCAGCAGTGTAGCAGCACAACTCCCCTTGGCTCCTGGCTGGCAGGTTCAGGTTCACCCATTCAAAATGGTTACCTGGGATGGTTTTTATTCCAGGTGTAAGCAGATGTGTCACTAGAGTTTCTTTGTAAAACCTTATTTTTATAAGGCAATATCTGATCTGGATTTGCTGACAACTCTTCAAGTTTTCAGAAAAAATTAAAATTAAATTGAGAAAGGAACTGTTGATAGTCCTTATAACCTGTGTTGTTCTCTCATAGATGCTCCACACTTCTAAAGGCTTTAATTAACATACCCACTTAATAGCCTTCCAGACATAAGGAAGGGGACAGGCAGAGGAGTGAGAACTGAAGGGACATTTCTGTTTCTGCCTCCCTCCCTCGCTAAGATGCTGTGAAGCAGAGCGATGCAGTAGTTGTAGGGAAGCATTATATAAACTTAAAGCTCTATGACATGCTCAAAGTTATAATTTTTACAGGGAATATAACCTTTCTTTTTTGTTATTGATTCTTTGGATTGATAGAGAAGCAAGAACATGTCTGATGCAGTAGTGTTAGACTTCAAAGATGATCATTGAGCTTATTGGAATTACTTATAACATTAAAGAGATCACAAATAAAACATTCACATGAAAATTTAATATTGAACTAATTTGAGTCTTACAGAAAAGTTATAAAGGAGTCAGAATTTGCATACACCATTTACCTAGCATCCCCAAATTTTTTGTCTTTCATAATCATAGTACACTGATTAAAACATTGAAGTTAATAGTAATACAATACTGTTAACTACATGACAAACCGTATTTAAATTTTACTAGTTTTTTTCTACTATCTTTTTTCTGTTTCAGGATAATCACACATTGTATCCAATTAATCTTCTCCGATCTGTGGCAGTTCCTCTGTCTTTCCTTTTCTTTCATGACCTTGACACTTTTCAAGACTACCAGTCTGCTGTTTTGTGGCATGCATCTCAGTTTGGGTTTTCTGTGATTGCATTGAAGTTATGTACTTTGACAGAAATAGCAAATAGAACAAAAGTGATCTTGTGCCCATTTTAGTGTGTCATATGAGGAAGTACATGATCTTGAATTATCTTATTATAAGTGAACCTTGATTACTTGGAAAAGGTGGAGTCTACCAGATTTCTCCACTCTATAGTGAAGTTTCCACCTCTCTCCCTTTGTCTTGCCTTCTTGCTCATTCATAGCAGATGACTCTTTTTCTGCTTCACTGAGAAAGAAGCTATTGGATGGCACTAATTCTGCTTCTCCATTCCTTCTTCCTGCCCTGATAGCCGAGCTGTCCTTCTTGGTGCTGAGGCCAACTTCCCCACCTGGACCAGTACATAATTTGTGAGGCTCAGTGCAAAGTGAAAATGAGGGGCCCCTTGTTCAGAAAGTTTAAAGAATTTCAAGATGGTGACAACAGAGTATTAAACCAAGGGTGGGGCCTTCTGAATGGGGGCCCTGCCTGTGTGATTGCACAGGTTGTACACCTGTGGAGCCCTCTCCGCCCTTTCCACTCTTCCTCTCCTCCCTTTACCTTCTTAGCAGCCTCCACTAAGCCCTTGGTCCTCTTGTCAAGTCAGTCTTTCTCTTTCACTCATTTGTCTTAATCCCATTGGCTTAAAAATATTCCTGGGGATCTCCAATTGAGAAATACCCCCATTCTCTCCCTTCTTGCTGCCTTTTCGGTACACTACTCTAATCTACAGAGACTCTCACCCAGGTCCACAGTGACCTCCATGTTGCTTCATTTCAGGACTGTGGGCTGAAGGCCTACCTGACTTGATCACTCAGCAGCTCTTGTGACTGTTTTTGTCTTGCCCCTGGAAACCGTCTTGAACCTTGTTTTCCAGGACACTGTTCACTCCCAGTTTTCCTTTTACCTCTGCCGACTCCCTGTGATTGTATTTGTTCATTATTCTGTAGTTTTGATTTATTATTGTACTTTAATTGTATTTTTTTTCTTTTCTGTGAATTGTCTTTTATTTTTATTTACTTTATTTTAAAATTTATTTATTTATTTTTAAGTATTGTTCAGAGTGTTACAGATGTCCTCCCCCTTTTTTTCCCCATTGCTCCTCTCCTCCCGGTTCCCATCTCGCCCAGGCCTTCACCGCCCTATAGTCTGTGTCCATGGGTAATGCATATATGCATGTAAATTCTTTGTTAATCTCTCTCCACCCCCCCACCCCTCTTTTCTCTGAGGTTTGTCAGTCTGTTCCATGTTTCCATACCTCTGTTTCTATTTTATTCATCAATTTATTTTATTCATTAGATTCTACATATAAGTGAGATCATGTGATATTTGTCTTTCTCTGACTGATTTATTTCTCTTACCATAATACTCTCCAGGTCCCTCCATGCTGTCCCAAAGAGTAATAGGTCTTTATTTTTTACAGCTGCATAGTATTCTATTGTGTAAATATACTACCCAACTTTTTTATCCTCTCATCTATTGATGGGCACTTGGACTGTTTCCAGATCTTAGCTATTGTGAATAGCGCTCTTATGAACTTAAGGATGTGTATATTTTTTCTGATTGGTGTTGTGGGATGCTGAGGAAATATTCCTAGGCGTGGGATCACTGGTCAAATGGCAGATCAATTTTTAATTTTTTGAGGAAATTCCATGCAGTTTTCCATAGTTGCTGTAGCAGTCTGCAATTTCACCAACAGTGTACTAGGCTTCCCTTTTCTCCACACCCTCACCAGCACTTTATTGACAGTAGCCATTCTGGCAGGTTTGCGGTGATACCTCATTGTCATTTCAATTAGCATCTCTCTGATGATAAGTGACTTTGAGCATTTTTTCATATGTCTCCTGGCCATTTGTATGTCTTGTTTGGATAAGTGTCTGTTCAGGTCCTCTGCCCATTTTTAATTGAATTGTCTTCCTTTTGTTGAGTTGTATGAGTACTCTATATATTTTGGATAATAACCCCTTATTTGACGTATCATTGGCAAACATATTCTCTCAGACAGTGGGTTTCCTCTTCACTTTCATGGTGGTTTCTTTTAATTTTATTTTTGTTACAGATGTTTCTCCTTTTTTACCCCATTGACACCCTCCTCCCTATCTGCCCCCGCCACGTCCCCAGCTTTGTTATCCATGTGTATTGGTTATGCATACATGAATATAAGTTCTGTGGTTTATATCTTCCCTCCCCCATCACCCCCTCTTCTGAGGGTTGTCAATCTGTACCCTACTTCCATGTTTCTGGGTTTACCCTATTCCTCAGACTGTTATGATCATTATATTCCATAAATAAGTGAGATCATGTGGTATTTGTCTTTTTATGCTTGGCTTGTTTCACTTAGGATAATATTCTTAGGATCTATTCTCCAGGTCTCTCCATGTCGTCTCAAAGGATAAGAGATCTTTCTTTCTTACAACTGCATAGTACTTCATTGTGTATATGTACCAAAGCTTTTTAATCCATTTGTCTACTGATGGACACTTGGGCTGTTTCCAGATCTTAGCTATTGTAAATAGTGCTGCTACAAAAATGGGGGTACATATATTCTTTCTGATTGGTGTTTCAGGCTTCTTAGGGTATATTCCTAGAAGTGGGATCACTGGGTCAAATGGAAGTTCCATTTTTAATTTTTTGAGGTAACACCATATTGTTTTCATAGTGGCTGCACCAGTTTGCATTCCCACCAGTGGTGTACTAGAGTCCCCTTTTCTCCACACCCTCGCCAACACTTGTTCTTTGATGATTTGTTGATGGCAGCCATTCTGACAGGTGTGAGGTGATACCTCATTGTTGTTTTAATTTGGATCTCTCTGATGATTAGTGATGTTGAGCATTTCTTCATATGTCTCTTGGCCATTTGTATGTCCTGTTTGGAGAGGTGTCTATTCAGCTCCTCTGCCCATTTTTTAATTGGGTTCTTTGTCTTCCTTTTGTTGAGTTGTATGAGTACTCTATATATTTTGGAAATTAACCCCTTATCTGATGTATCATTGACAATGATGTTCTCCCATACAGTGGGTTGCCTTTCCATTTTGATGGTTGTTTCTTTTGCTGTGCAGAAACTTTTGAGTTTGATGTAGTCCCATGTGTTCATTTTCTCCTTTGTTTCTGTTGCCTCAGGTACTGTTTCAGTGAAAATTCTGTTGCCTACATTTTCTTCTAGAATTTTTATGGATTCATGGGGTCACATTTAAGTCTTTTATCCATTTTGAGTTTATTTCTGTGTATGGTGTAATTTGATGGTCTAGTTTCATTTTTTTTGCATGTAGCTGTCCAATTTTCCCAACACCATTTATTAAAGAGGCTGTCTTTACTCCACTGTATGCTCTTGCCACCTTTGTCAAATATTAATTGAGCATATTGCCTTGGGTCCATTTCTGGGTTCTCTGTTCTGTTTCACTGGTGTATATGTTTGTTCTTGTGCCAGTACCACACTGTTTTGATTATAGTGGCTTTGTAGTATAACCTTATATCTGGTATTGTGATCCTACCTGCTTTGTCCTTCTTTTTCAAGATTGCTGTGGCTATTCAAGGTCTTTTTTGGTTCCATATGAACTTTTGAAGTATTTGTTCTAGTTTTGTGAAGTATGTCATTGGTATTTTCATGGGGAGTGCATTGAATCTATACATTGCCGTGGGTAATATGGACATTTTAATGATGTTAATTCTTCCAATTCATGAACAAGGTATGTGCTTCCACTTTTTTATATCTTCTTCTATTTCTTTTTTCAATGTACTGTAGTTTTCTGCAAATAGGTCCTTTA